CGTGTCGCTGTCGTGGTTGACAGCTATCCGTAAGATACCCCGTGGCAACACAATTCAACGACTTTTCTTTGCTGGACTTGCATGAAAACCCGTCTACATACGTGGTTGCCCACATGTGATCGATGTCTATAGTACGCAGTAACAGGTGCATTTGAAAGTGGGAACTGCCGCCCCCCGGGCAGTTCATCAGAGCTTTTTGTCCCATTGCTTCGTCCGATTTCCTGCTCAGATTTTCTTCTTTTATCGGGGGGATCAGCGACTCACAGGCCATGCTTTTTTCTGCAGATCCTGGCCAATTTTGTGGTTCCTGCTTGAACCCCCTGTGGTCTGGACACTCTGGATCTTCCTAGACTCAACTGACTCTTTGGCAGACGGGAGAGGCACTCAGCACAACCGGGATGGTGTGCTGGCGTTGCGTCCTGATGACAGATGATTACCCAGGACTTTCTCGACTCTGCAAACACGATCCGCTCCAAAAAAATTGCTGCCCGGAGCGGAGAGGCCAAGGAACTGCCGTGGTGAATCGTGGGCTGGCAGCGTCGGAGACATCCACAGTGACATAAGACACATTCCAAGCAGGTCAGTCACCACAATTCAACTCAATGCCATTGTTCAATTGCCAAGGATCGGTGTTCCAGCGCCAACGGTCCATTTCCTTCTTCCAGCTATTTGGGCTCTATTCCTTAATTAATGGAGTCTCGGTTTCACTGGCTCCTGGCTCACCAACTCTAGAGCATTGGTAAATTGACCAGATCCAGCTTCAATAGCTAGTTGAATGGTGCCAAACGAGGGAGAAACGAGCAGTCACATCTGGATTGTTCTGGGTTGCCACCCACTCACACCTCAGCGACGAACTAGCGCTCGCCTACGACCATTTCGCCCTTCCACTGCTAATGCTGGCCTGGCTAGTTTTTTAGTTTTTTGTCTCTTGGCCAGGTTTTCAATGACAGCGAGCAGCGAAGAGCCAAGAAGAGGGGAGGGGGCAAAGGTTTGCAGCTTGGAACTTGGAAGAATGGCCCATGGAAGAGCCAACGGCTGAGCGGCGAATGGACCAAGAAGCGCCATTTTCACCCCTGGCTTATGCAGGAACGGGGGGCAAATGCTGCAGGAACCGGCACCACGGCGCAACCTTGGAAACACCGGGCGCCAAGGATACGTCGCTCAATACGACCTCGTCTCGTATCTTTTGAGTGCCATCGCGGCTAAAAGATACCTCACCACAAGAGTACCCTTCCTTGCTTATCCCCTCAACCGCCGGCCCCCCTTCTCCATCCGACCCAGTCGAGCCAGTCAGCGGCTGCAAGAAGTTGATGCACGCACTGGCTGGCGAGGAAGGCACAGGTGGCAGCCGATGGTAGGTGAGAATCAGGATGTCGTTTCGTTCCTACCATCACTTGCTTACAAGCACACAAGTTACATCTGTCGCCTTTGCAACCGTTGAGTTTAGCACTTTAGGCTCGACTGGCTAGCCGCGTTGCTGAGTGCAACATGAAAGCCTTGACGTTTCGCTCGGGTCAGTGGTCGAGTGAGTACCTTATCTGTGCCTCCGCCAACATCTTAGTCGCTCTGCTATCAATAACACTTCCTTGCTGCAGAAAAATCCCTCTCTTTTTGCCTCCAACACCAAGTCACTATTCTTCAATATCGTCATTATTGCCTTGACCCCCGCTCCCTCTCCTCCCTCGGTCGACCTCCATAGCTCATGGCTCTTTCATGGCAAAAGCCCTACGCCTGCCATCACCAGGGAGATGTCCAAAAATTATCACCGCCAACCAGAGCAAGACTGCCGCCGGACATTGCCGCTCGGGAAAGCCCCCCAAGGAAGGTGACTCGTTGGCTCCGAGGCTTCTTACTGAGGGCCACGCAAGGGCAAGCGAGACGACCAAGGGGACCCTTCTTTGACGACTGCGCAGCGTTGACCACGCCCCCAATACTGACGAGGTCCTCAGGCAGCAGGCCGAATAGTCCCAGTTGGCCTGGCGAATGGCTTCGGTGGGCTGGGCGGGCTCTACGACGACTTTTCGTGTCCCGTCCCGCAGCGCCCAGCATCGGACGAACAAAGGATGACAACGGTCGACTTGGGACGGCAGCCCCGCGCTTGGGGCAACCCGAAGGACTGATGCCATTGTCATGGGAGAATGGGCCCAATCCGAGCCGAGGATTTGTGTGAGCACGATAAGACCCGCGCTTTTGACCTGTTTCACCACTTTGGGCTGGCCCCACGTTCGTCGTCGTCTTGACCCTTTTACGCGTTTTCCTCTTTACGGCTAGCCGATTACGTGGAGCCAGATGGATCGCCAGGGAAAATCGACCGCGCACCAAGTCCAGACTCTCTGCGCGGGAGATGGAGTCGACTCGGGGGATTCCACAACTGTTCGACAGCGTCAGACCTGGGAAGGCCAGCAATCCGGGCCAGCCAGGCCCCAGGGCGCCGGCTGTGAAACCCTAAGCGAAATGAGCTTCCGCCGCCACGGGGCACACGTCCAGCGAATCCCATCCATCAGAGCACCATTTCACTCCAACACAACGCCCATTTTGGCACTTCACTTCCACCTGTTTGGCCCTTTTCTGACAGCCGCCCACATTCCTCGCCCAGTCTGTCCCGTTACTTCCCTGCCGCCCTGACAAAGAGCCGATGAGGCCAGCGGCCAGCCCTCCGGATCATCCAAAGCTTGTTAGTCGAGCAGGATTTCGTCCTTTTCCAGCACAGGGCAGCACGTGCCGGGATGCGACAGCCAGGGCTACACTGCGCCACGCCGAAGCTAGAGCCTCGGAATGTCACCCGGCTCCATGACCCGGGACTGCCATGCCGGCCGCTGTCCTCCATCAGGGCACTATATACCGTTCTAGACGCTCAGATCATTCGGACTCACTGGCAGTCTGCCAGGCTCACTGGCTCTTCAGAGGCTGAAGCCGACTTCCATAGCACGCGACTCAGAGCCCCGGCCCGCGCAAGGTCCGACAATATCAGGACACGAGGCTTTGCACCTAAATAGTACGATTCATCACGACGTACGTAATCATTTCGGCACTGCCAGCCGTTTAGTTCTGCTTCTTTGAGTGTTGTCAACCCCGCCCGATATCATTAAACGCCGGATAGTTGCACCCACGATCCGAACAGCCGACCTCGAGAGTTGCCCAGTGAGCGAACGCATTGCTTTCATCCGATGTCAATCTTCATTAAGGTTGTGCTGTCTCATGCGCATCGACAAGCGTGAAGAGGACCCGTACAGACTTTCGTTTCCATAATTCTCACTTTATGGTTACTCTAGCTTCCTCATACTGGAGTCTGGCGCATTTCTTTCCCGACATGTGTCTTACGGTCTTACCTGCAGGTTGCATGCTGCAAGCCACTCCAGCTTCCTTACATCAGCTCTACGTATCTCTACGGTTTTCGTTTCGTCCAGGATTGGTTTATTCCTGTTCATATGCTTGTCCTCCCACATGTAACAGTGTTGGGTCAGCTGCAGCCGTTGACATCTATTCAAGTCTGCTCCTGCAGGATTACATGCACCTTAGCAAATGATCCCGTCAATGAGTCTGGCACGCTTGCCCATCGATTGAGATCAGCACATGAACGGCGGCGTGGCTATCCGCAGTTAGGTTTGCTTGCGCCATCGAAATAGTCCCAAGTGTCCCCATACGGCTCCACCGACAGCCATGACGGTTTAGAAGTTGGCAGCAGAGAGACTCGGCACGTCACGTAGCTGAATGATTATTTGCTTCGATTGGCAGACATATTGTCAAGTGAACTGTACTGACTTACTTTTCAATGTGACAGGGCCTAGCCGATGCACCCTAAAAGAAACGCGTGCCCTAGAAGCGTTTCTCGAGGCAAGAAATAGACACTACCCAGCTCCTTGGCAACAATGTTCAATAGGCACCTCTCAGCATTGACACTCGACAGCTGGTTTCAGTTTTGAATCCTCAATGAAGTTGCCAAGATTGGGGACCGGGTTTGTTATTTCCTGCCTAATGTCTCCTCATTTTCATCGGTGGTGCAACCAAATGGATCAAATGATCGAGTGCAGGATCGCCTGCAATCACTACAGCTTGTTTGAGACACTCTCATCTTGGAGGTAAGGTAGAGCACGGCAACTTATTCCGATGTAAGACGTAGAGGAGAGCGGGCGCTTCGTCTCACCACCCCGGCAGCCGTCCGTTCGGAAGAGGCCCAGTTTTCGGCATCGCCAACCTCATCGCCGGCGCGGCGAACGGAGGCTGTCCTCATTGATTTTCAACTTAAAGTCTTCACGGTATCGTTCAGTAAACGAGAAGGGACTTGTTCAATATCCTTAGACAGCCTTGCCAAGCACAGCCTCCACAATGCTGAAATCGATTGCGATTATTGATGATCAGCAGCCAATGGCATCTGGCAGCCATTGATCTAAGACTTGTGGCGGCCTATCGATCGCCCGACACCCTGCGACGATGACAATCTTTGGTGCCACACGTGACATGGCTGCCTTGGCACCAGCTTGAGCTGAAAGCGACGTCAAGTTAATGCAGGTTGACCGTTGAAGCTATTCATCAGAATTTAAGCCGTTCAAACCGTCTATAGTCAAATTCGCACACTGGCTTTTAGGCCCTAGAGCTTTCAAGCAGCCAAGTTTGCAGCATCATGAACACCGCTCCGTCATCACTGCCTCTCATCGCAGCCGCCCCGAGCTTTAGTGACTTCGACTATGGGGCCTTCTTCCCAGGTGAAGACATGTTACTCGGAGATGAGAATACCTATTCGAGCGAGACACTTTCCGAGTCACCCACGAACAGGACCTCCGCTACAGGGCCAAGCGGAGAAGGCTCGTCTCGCCACGGTCCTTCTCAGAAGCAGCGCCTTGAGAGACGAGGGCATACCAAAAGTCGCAGAGGGTGCTTCAACTGCAAGAGAAGACGTATCAAAGTAAGCCAGTATTCTCATTGAGTTGTCGTCTCTCGCATAGTAACGTTGTGTATCAAAGTGCCAAGAGACGCAACCATCATGTGGGCATTGTAACAAAATGGGCTTGAAGTGCGAGTATCCCAATGCTCCAACGATTGTGCACCAAGTATGTCAATCACATTATCTGTAATCCAGATGCATTATCTAACGTATTGTACTCAGCCGCAACATCAAGTGCCGCTGTTCAGTCTGCAAGATATGCGGTTCTTCCAGCACTTCATGCTACAATGCTACCCTCACCACCCTATAGGCAACGAAAACATCTGGACCCATGAAGTTCCGTGCTTATCTCAAACCGTGAGCTCTATGAACTGAATCAATGAGAGACCCTGCTCAACTTATACAGAACGAATTCCTCATGCACGCGATCCTCGGAATGGCAGCCTGCGATCTCATGAACGCGGACCCGAGCCTCCTAGCGTTCGCCATGGCGCACCGCGTCAAGGCCATAAAAGCCATCAAAAAGTCTCTCGCCGAGCTGCCGAAGCAGCGGGGCACGACGCCGGAGCACGCCAACGCCCTGATCGCGACGTGCTTCGCGCTCACGTTCCAGTCCGTGACGTTTGAGGACGGCATGGCCGAGTACATGACCTTTATCCGGGGCATCCTGATCATCGGCACGCAGATGTACATCAAGGGCATCAAGCCCATATTTGTGAATTTGATGGGGCAGGATTCGAGCGCGGTCCTGGAGCCCAAGATGGTGGATCTGCCGCTGATTCGGACCGAGTGGGCGGACGGTGCTGTCGAGGCGATTGGCGGGTTGAGGGGTCTCTGTCGGGATGGGGTGGAGGTTGAGTATTTCGAGCTTCTTTTGGATATGGCGACGAAGCTGCATACTTCGTCTTGGAAGGGTAAGCTGTGCACCCTACAGCACGGACATCCTGGCCTGTTCTCCCTTTATATACCATAAGTAAACCACTGACAAACGGTTCGCTCAAACAGCGTACCAAACACTTTCGAAGCACTACGGCTGGTGGATCCAGCTTCCGCACGAAAAGTTCCAGCGCATCATCGACATGACCTCGCAAACTATGGTCCTCCTGGCCAGCCACTGGATCGCGCTGAAGCAGATCATGGCTACGGTGACCAACGCCGAGCACGAGTGTCGCGAAAAGGCGCCGCCAAAGGAGAGCGCCGTGGATTTGGGCATCATTCGGTGGCTGGGGCATCTCAATAGGCAGGTAGACCACGAGCATTTGGTGTATAATCGGTGGCCTTTGTGGGTAGAGGAGCAGCTCAAGCAGGACCTGACCTTTTTTGGGAAGAAGTTTTGAGGAAAGATTTGCTAGCGGAGGTTCATCTGAAGCTGTTATTTACGATGTCTTTATTTATTCTGAAATCTTTCCCACCTATTGAGAGTTATCAAGACTAGGACAATCTGTTGTCAAAACTGCAAATGAAAATGACCAAAGTTGCTTGACAGACGCCGCATCGTATCCGCAACAGTGAACACGATGCATCAAGCCCATCCCACCCAACCATCCAACCATCTCACCATTTGATTGAGAACCTGATTCCTTTGGCTCAATATCCACTTACTCAAAGACAAAGGCCCCGGATAGACAAGCATAACAACCCCCTGGAGAACGAACGGGGTCGGTAGGAGAAAAGAGATCTTGCCGATCCTCATCAGCAGGGCAAAACGATCTCGGTGAGTGCCGTTTACAGCCCCACTCGTCACCGCCCGCCGACACTGCCCCTCCCCCGGCAACCACAGGCGCACCGCCTCCGGTGGTGGCGTACATGATTGGACGAGCTGGACAAAACGAGGAATACGACGGACCGGAGGTGGGGCCGTGCAAACCAATTGGCGTCCGAGAGGATGACTGACGAGGGGGCTTGTATGGACGATAGATTCGGTTGAAGAATGCCCAATTTGTGTCGATTCTCGATAAGGTACTAAGAAAGCAAGACATGCGAGGAATACGGTAAAAGAGCGCACTGATGTAGTGGGGGTGGGGGCGGCATTTGTTTCGAGGCAGCTGAGCCTTCGTGGAAAGTGAAGCTTTCTTGATCTTGGGGGCTGACAGAGACTACCTTCACTTAACTTGGTCGCCACAGGTCTTATCTCGAGGGCTTGCTGCGCGTTTTACCTTTCGAATTCGAAGATGTACTCGAGGGATCATTATTGGTCGAAGACCAGTAAGGCGAAATGATGAAAGATTAAGTTTTGAATCGGTGGAAAGTCCGCATAGAAAAGTCCGCCGTCGTCGCATTCCTCGCATTCGACTGATTTTAGTGGCAGTGTCTTACTAGGCTTTCTTAGCAAAAGGTTGTGTCAGTTCGCCTGCCCTTATATAGCACTGCAGTGAAGGAAGTCTCAGGACGCGTGAGAAGGATAAAGTCAAGAGTGTTTCCTTCCTGGTCAGAAAACAAGACTGCCGGCGTCCCGCACTACCTTCCTCTTGTTCGCGAGGTCCCTAAGTCATAACTACCTCCTCGTCTTGCCTTGGACACAGAGCCATCTCTAATCCAATTACCATATTTATTTGAAGACTAGCCTAGCTCTCTGGGTTCACCATGTCGACCACGATCGTTGCAGACGAACTGCACACCGTGCCCAGCAATTCTTCGTTGCCCACATACTCCTCAGCAACAGGTATCGAGCTCGCAGATATCTCACCATCAACATCATCCGATTCCAGCCCCGCACCACCAGCCTACGATCAAACAATAACCGTTGTCCCTCGAGACACGGAACCCGCACCCAGCAGTGATGGCGGCTCAGAGGCCTCTCCCTCAGGAGACGCCTTTGCCCCTACGGTGCACTTCCAGATCGAAACCACCGGGAAGCAATGGCTCTCGCTCCCCATCGGCACCCGGCCCGACCCAATCGCAATCTACCACGTCGAAGCAGGCTCCTGGAGCGCGGAATCCGTCCCGGCTTACGTCTCCATCCGCTTCTCGCGCAATGACGGAAGCTGTCACCTCCTAAGGGGCGACGACGCATCTCAGACGCCCGTATGCACGACGCTCTACCGCTTCGGGCCGGGAAAACCCCCCATCTTCCGACCGTCTCAGGCCCTCGCGCCGTTCCACGCACCCACACCCCCGGCCTCCTCTAGCTCTTCTTCGACGGAGGTATCACTCCAAGACGAGGAGAACGGTCACCGCGAGACGGATGTGAGCGCAGTAGACCTCCAAATCGTCTCCAAGTCCCTCACCTCCCGCACCCAGATTCTGAAGACGCCCCTGGGAACCTTCCAGTGGCGCTACGCCACGCGGAAAGAACGCGCTGCCGTGCCTGGCGCCGACCAGCTACTCGTCTGTGAGCTCGTACAGACCATCGCGCTGGCAGGCGGGAAGAAGACGGAGGAGAGCAAGACGAGAATCGCGCAGTTCGTTCGTGGCAAGGAAACGAGAACGCGGGGTACGGGGCGTACGACGGCAGGAAATGGGGGCAGGTTGATGCTCGATGTGATGAGGTGGGCTGATTCGAAGGACGGAGGGAGGGAGGCGGTGGAGGTGCTGGTTGTCGCGAGTTGTGTATGCATGTTGAAGAAGGAGGTTGATCGGAGGAGGATGCAGCAGATGATGATACTTGCGGCTGGAGCTTCCGGAGGAGCGTAGTAGTGATTTCGAAGCCCTGTTCATTATTCTGTTCGGTGTCTGTCTTTTTTGTAGGGTAGATCATATTTCCGAATATAATAACTAATGCTCTCATCTGCCATGTCATCTCTAGATTTCGGCCACACTCGGTGTTGTAGAGGATCATAGACGAGATGTAGAGGTAAGAGCAGCTGAGATGAGGATCCAAAGTGCCCAGAATGAAGCGCCATATGTGACTCTTGAACAAAAGAATGAATACACTGGGAGGCAGAAATGGTATAACACAGAAATGTAAAGTCGATAGGATAACTCGAACCCATGACCCTCAAAAATAGACAGCCACCGGGGGTCGAAGTCCTTTGTGTGTTCTTGCAAGTGATCAGTCGCAACTACGGCGCCAGAAGTCTCCTCATCCGATAGTGCTAGGAGGAGGGAATAATTTCCTCATGTACCCCTCCGAGTGCGGTATCTGCTTTCTGAATATACACTTGCTTCTGTTTATTCATCGTCTCCGGGGAAACATGAGGGCGCATTTCCTGGGCCTACTAGCTCTTGAGAGCACAAATCGCCTCGTACCAGCGTGATACTTACTCGAATACCGGCTTTGAAGGATGAATATTTGCATTCATCCCAATATTTGCTCCCGATTCCAAAGTCGTCATCGATCTTGCCGTGAACTTGCTCAACTTTCCCCCCTATAGACGGCTCCCTCGCCCCAATACCTATTACGCTGTTACCTGAGCTGCGGAGAACCGATGGATCAATACCGAGTTCAGAATCGTAAACAACCCAGCAAGCAGGCGAACTGTGCAGGTTCGGCATGGAATCCAGAAGTGACACCACTTCGTATCGTATCAGCGTAATTCCTTGCTCAATGAGCCCGTCTGTAAGCTTCTAAACCTCGATATGATCTTGAGACGTGATGACTTGCTAGTAGATCAATGAACATCGAAGACCTGCCGATAACAGCCGTCACTTGTAGTCATAAAGGCCAAGGATTCAAACATGGTCCATTGATTCCTTCACCAGAATGGTTGTACCCCACAACTCAAAGACGTCTTAACAGGAGTTCATGAATAAAGGACTCTGTCAAACGCCCCCTATGCTTGCGAGTGATCTTGAGAAGTGCGCCCACCTGGCAGAAGATCACTCACCCTAGGTAGCTGCAATCCATTATAGCAAGCCCATGATCATGCCTCTAGCATAATCCAGGGCCAGTGTTAAAGACCTAGTTGCTCGCCAAAGACCGAGGTTGTGTTGTCCGCACACGCATACATCTGCCGATAGGCCGGGCGACCTATGAACATGATAGTCGGATCCAATTCTCGAAAGACCTAGCATGGAAGTATGCACAACAAGACAAAGGAACGACTCTTTCGAGACGGACATAGTAGTCTTAGCACAGCACATACCACGCTTACAGCGTCTATCAAAAGCAGGATACTAGTAAAATTGGCCCTGAGAAAATGAAAATGCATGCCTTTTAGCAGTCACATCACGACAGAGGAGATAGGAGACCAGCTTTGTAGCAGCTGTGCCTGCCTTATCCCAGGTTGCCCGGGTATAATAATATAACGCTTAAAAGCACCCACTCGCAGAGCTCCGACCAGAAGGGCATCCTTGTTGCCAATCATGGCGGGTGACTTCTAGGTAACGACAATAGCTTGACAAAGGTCGCTTTATCTATATGATTTAGTCACAGGTGTCAACTGGAAGCTGGAAGTTCACTATAGCTCCTTTTTATGTGGTTTCCCTCTTTAAGCTCCGTCATCGTCGTCTGTTTCGTGAGGACGAATACGAAAGGAACGCGGGGCCGTGAAGAAAGCGCGTCGAAGTTTTTGCTTCTTCTTCATTTGGGGGGATCACCGACAGTGTCTGTGATTAGTGAGAAATTGGTGCAATGAATGAGTTTGCTAACAAGTTGTCAGCAGCTTCTGCACCTGGATCGACAAGCAACTTTCCATCGGATCCGGATTTGAGGAACCCCTACGATATGGAGCACGGGAACGCGTCAATTTATAGCTGAACGTCAGAACAGAGTGTTCACCTGGGTTCTGCCGCCCTGGTAGGTTATTGGAACGTTACGACCGGGAGGCTCACACGGACTCATGAGTTTGGCTTGTAAGCTGCTGGCGTCTCTCATGCGGGATCATACAAGGACTTTATTTCTGTCCAAAACATAAGAAAGACACATAAACATACTGGGAAGCTCATGTGACATCTGACCTTACTTATTTATAAATCATCTCAATCTTATGTAACATAGAATAACTTACACTGAGCTATAGAGATAGAGGATCTGAATATATCAGAAGAAAGGGCATGTTTTTCGCCCACTGATGTTTGGGTTCACACTGGAGAATATTACCTTACATCTAGACCATGCCAACAGCGCTAGTCGCGCTACCCCTGCACAGCTAGGATAGCAACCCCGCACCACTGCCCCAAACACAAAACAAAATGAAGCTATCGTCGCCCACCACGGCCCACCACAAAAGCAAGATCAAAACACCAAAATGAAGACATAAACATACAACACCAGGTATTCGCTGGTCGTCACCGACCCAACTACTAATCCGGCCCTCATTGGCTTATCTATGGGAGAGCGGACGGGATCCCGAGTTTTCCAATGGGTATGGTCGTATGTGGTGGACTGAGGAGCGCAGGTTGACCAAATGGGGAGAAGGAAAAGAACATTCAGGACCTCCATCTCAAGCCAGTGAGCATGGAACTCAACGAAAAGTGAGAAATGGCATCTTTCAGTTATTCTTGTGATTTGTCGAATTCCTTTTCACTTGTCACTATAACGTTCGATGGCCCCCTGGAGGTGAACTCGTGTTTTGACACAATACCTAAACCACCCAAAGCACGCACTCAATCCAGCCGTAGAGGGCACGTACTGTGATATTATCGATGGTCTTTTGAAAAATTGTTGATAAAAACATCTTGTCAGAAGAGCGCAGACGTGAAGTAAGACGTAGCCTTGATAGGGAGGAGAGGGCCAGCCACTACGCACTACGTTGTCCGACTAGGGGATGATCAACTCCTACGGTATCGTAACGTCAGATGTAAAAGTCTCAAGGCCAATTCCAACACTGTTCATCCACGTACCTAGGCTCACTGCGAGGTGCGAGATGTTTCTTGTGGGAGGAGGGGAAAAGAACACCACGAGGTCTGAGTTGAGGGGGTTAGATAAAGGCACCTTACTCTGTAGCCTACTTTATATTAATATGTCGCTCCAGATTCCTAGTTGATATCACCGTCCAGCATAGCGGTCCTCAACATACCTATAAAAGCCATCTCACATCTCATATCACACTCACAGCTAGACCCCTTGGCATCACTGAATGGAAGCGACCCTGTCAGTGGCCTTGTATCAAGGATACTCCATGGCATCCTGCTACTCTAATTATGCAGAAGACAAATGACGTGCGAGTCCGAAGCTCAAATTAAGTACGCGAATCATGTCTGAATTGTCAATGGTGAAATGATTGGGGTATATAATAAGCTAGGCAATCGTGGGAGCCTGAGAAGAAGAAAGTTGATAGCTGAGACAAATCTCTAATCGATCGAGGCCTTGGGTCTTCGTCTCTCCCACAACACATGACAAAATCAGTACTCCTCCCACATTGAATACACTCTGCCTGACTGCTTCAAGCAACCCTCGCCCAATATGACCACCACTGACGAGGTAAACACTCTAGGACCACTCCAATCATGCAATAACCTTTAACCACAACCTTAGCTATAACGACAATGACAGCAAACAATTTTCTACGCTGATACCAATCTTCTTTCAGTATGTCTTCCTGTTCGAGTCACAGATCATTGCTGCCCGTGGGAAACCTGTTTTTCTAAGAGAGATTTCCTCCTTCTACGAGAATGTTCTTCAGCTCCTGCTACCGGACTGCATCGTCGACGAGGCAATCTTGCCCAAAGACGTGATTCTCAAGATGGAGTATCTGAAAGACAGGGACCTCTTCGATCCGCCAAAGACGGCCCTCTTCGACAACGAGGCCCTCATCTACGACCGGCTTCAACCGCTGCAAGGGAGCGTCATACCGGGATACTTGGGCTTAACGAGCATCGCGGGCAGGAGAGCGCACCTCTTGTCAGATATCGGCGGCATGTTGATGGCCAAGGAGGAACTCCTGCCAATTGAATCCAGCGAGAAAAAAAAAACTTTGAGGAAATGATTTCCGTTTCGCTTCGTCTCATACGTCAACACGGTGTTCGGCTGAAGGATCTACATTCGTCCAACGTCCACTTGTGCGGAGATGCGCTTTGCATCGTGGGACCTCGAGCATGCTCAGTTGGTTTCGTCAGACCTCACTGACGAGGAGGAGGAGGAAGTGGAGGAGGCTCGCCTCCGGAAACAAGTACGACATTTTCGTGGATAATATTCGGGCTCGACGAGATCTTGAGAACAAGATGATAGAGAGTTGCATAGGCATCCTCCCTGGCGATTCAAGTCTCCCAGAATTGGAAGGAAACAGGTGACCAAAGTGGAAAAGGTCAATAAGCTGAAAGAGGTTACTGGGGGGGGAAGGGATTGGGGTCGAAAGGCTCAACCTCCGCCGGGCATCAGGCTCCTCCCCAGACTTGACTGTAGATGATTAGAACGTGCCTCTTGTGGGGGAAGAGAGGAACTCCCATCCGGCCTGGGTCCTCAGCGTGCTCTCGGCAACTCGGCATGAGGAGAACAAAATATCATGCTTTGCAGTCCACTCAAGTTTCCTCGGTTATTTCGAAGCTCTGGGTAAGACTCATGGACCTACCGGGAGCAGGCCTCTTGGAAAAAATTGGGATTAGGCATAATAGTTGACAAATCCATCATGGTGGCAGAGATCCTACAATCGTAACTCCCAGCCGCAAGCCCGGTATTCGTATTGAGGGATTGTTAGAGTTGCCTAGCTCAATGAGACCGATTAATAGTGTCGTAAGCCCTTTTGAGGGTGTATCGTGAGGTCGTTATGAGTGGTGTTAGTAGTGTTAGTGATGGTAGCCCTGACTGGTAATAGCACAGTCAATCTAGGCAGACTGTACACTTACGTTAGCCGAACTTCAAGTTCATCTTGAGCTTGATATTTCTTCTTCATTTCGCCGCACTATAAGGTCCTGTTTACAGTATCGTGGGGTGATGGTGATCATGGTGGTGGCGGTAGACCGGGCTGGCAGTCACACCAAACTCGAAGCAAGCCGGCTCTCTTGCATTTGTCACGCTGCAAGTAACGCGAGATATGGAGGAGCATCACTTGTTATGCAAGGAGGTAACAGCTTTTGGTCGTTCGTACTTGGTACTAAATACCAAGTATTAAGCAGTTGCTTACCTTCCATATGAACCCCCAAGAAGCGAAGGCCGACCGACGCAATGTTTTCACCCACATGTCGCATAAAAGTCCCCGTTTCTGTGCGTTTGCATGCCTAGATATGGTAAACGTCCCTTCAAGGTCTCTGTACTCCTAGCTTCTTTGAGGTATCGTCTCGTTGCGTTACTGACTAGTATAAAAATGTCTCACTGATAGGATACAAGTCCACATGTAGGACGATGGCAATCATCCCGCGAACTAAAGCCCACCCAGACTCGTGGAAGAAGAATCCACGATTAGCCCCTCTCTCGTCGTAATTTCATACATGGTACTGGGCATAGAGATGCCAACTGACCTCGTCACACAAGACGACATCCTACAAGCTCTCATCCCTCTCTTCCTTCATATTCACCTCATTATATACACACACAGAGACTGGACAAGGAAGGTAGTGACGGACTATTTATAAAAAATTAAAAAAGACAAATGTCAAGTCCCAAAACTTCATACACAAGCTGGAAGTAAACCTCGTCCTGTCGTGGTTGGCCGTACCTCACTCGCCACATCATACCTCCACGCAAACGTCGTCTGTCGTCAACGGGACTCAACGCTGAAGGCGTAGATGGCGTGGCTTATGTATGTTGAACCCAAGACCAAAAAACATCCCCCACTCCTCCCCTTCTGTCACGAGATACTCCCTGCATGTAAATCCAAAACCTCAACGCTGCAGCACGCCTCATCGCCCAAAAACCAAACCCAAGGTACACTCACAACTTACACAAATCCACCCCCTACATCACGAAAGCAGCCAAACACAAACACCCAATAGTTCATCAATCAGCAGGTCAGAAAAAAGGCTGTATTGTTTGTATCCATCTCACCCAAGTCAGTCAGTACGCAGCAAAGACGAGAAGCTCTCCTCTCACGACCGAAAACCAATCGCCTCGAGTCTCGTCTCTCGTCTCCACCACCTCTTCCAGCTTCGACTACAGTCCACAAAACGTTTTTTTCCCCTTTTTCCCGTGGTAGCCAGGTCGTCTACTCCTCAAGCCACGTTCCCGGAAGACCCTCCTGCGTTCAGAAACTATACAACTCAAAAGAAAAATCAAAACTCCAGATTTCACTCATTCCAATCCCCTTTCCATATCAACACATGTGCGTCAACATCACAAGATGACGCCCGAAAAAAGAAGACACCATTGTATCTTTCCCTTCCTCCCATCCAAACATTGGCAAACCTTCGATATTCGGAGAAGCCAAGAGGTGAAGACGGAAAAAAAAAAGAGAGGGAAGGACCGCAAATGTCGTCTACATACATGAAAGTGAGAAAGAAACAAAGAGCTTCCTCAACTACAAGACGCGAAATCATCAGGGAAAAAAAAGTCAAGCCAAAGATTCCAGTCGGAAAGGAATCACTTGGCCCCCATCTCCCTCATATCCCCTCCCCATTTCTTTTGTCTGCTTTCCACACCGTTGATCGTCTTTTCCGAGTCCATAATCCCTCACTCAGGTCCTTACCGTAGAATTACTAACGCCTAGACCGTCCTCTGCTATCTGCCTCGTGATGAACGTTGCAGGCATCGAGACAGGGAGATCATGTGGCGTGTTCGGCTACTCGAGGACCATTCGTCAAGATCAAAACAAAGTCGTACTGCGCGGTCGATGCTGATTTCGTAAAAGAAAAAGAAGGTCATTTCATGTCGTTAAAAGTCGTAAAGCTCGTCCAGAAAGGCCCCAGTGTCTATTCAACACCATGCTTCCTCCATTCCCCACAAGTCTAGCAGACCATGGTAATAATGACCATGATCGTGTCTTGCCAATCGCAAAATCCACCATTGAGGGACAGCAAACACTTCGCTTGCCCCTTAGGTGAATCGCGCCAAACCCCTCCATCGGCTGGGCAGCTCGCGCTCCTGCGCAACGCCATAGTTCTCCCCTTCACAGCCGAACCCGCGGTTCTTAAACTGCTCGGGTCCGCACTGCATGGCCGCCGCGCCGTGGTTCGAGTTGGGCCTCAGACCCAGCGGTTCGGCTGCCTTGCGGGCGGTTCGGGAAGTCCAGGCACGAGCTGCCTCGCGGAAGGATCGCCTCGAGTCGTTGGAATCGATGCTACTGCGAGTGCTAGCCGCGTAGGAGGGATTCGGAGGCGTAAAGTCCGTATCCATGGGCATGGGACCGAGAGAGGACGAGGGCTGGTGCTTGGCGAGCTTGTTGCTTGCGCGGTTCGAGCTGCTAAACGACCGGCGAACAAAGACAGTACCTCCACCGACAGCGCGAGGCGGTGGAGGAGGAGGCATATAGTTGGGAGGAGGCGGAGGCGGCATGTAATTTGGGGGTGGCATGTCCACCGAGGCAGACTGGCCGTGAGACCTTTGCTTGCGGAGCCCGGGAATCGAGAGGTCGACGGACATGCGTGAAGCAGACTTGCGCAGCTTCTTGGCTGCCGACATATCCTCATCGTTGTCCATGCCGCGTTTCCTGTTTCCGTCCCGCGAGTCTGGTAGAGGCTGGACCTCCTCCGTCGGCGGGAGAGGCCACTGACCCGACACGCGCTCGGCAAAGGACTTTTTGTCCGCAGGAGGCTTGGTCGAGTATGTGGTAGTCGAGGGGTTGAACGAGGGCGGAGGAGGCTGGCGGGTGGAGCGGATAGCATGCGCATCAAAGAAACCATCCTTCATAAGTTGCTGGTAGCTGGCCATGATCTCGTCTCTGCTGGGCATGCCCGCACCGTTGTTCGCGAAATGCGCAGGCATCGCGGCGGCGGTCGGCGCGCCAATGGGGCCCAGGCCATTGCCGTTACCATTGCCGCTGCCGAAGCCTCCAGCCCCGCCTCCTTGAGCAAGAAGCTTGCCATCAAGGCTCAGTGGGCGCTTAGCCCCCTTATCCTTATCCCTGACGAAGCTCAGCTTCTCGCGGAGACCACCCCAGAAGCCCTTCTTCCCGACGTGGCTGCTAGCCGAGCTGGCGGGTCTCTTAACTTCGCCGTAGGTGATTGTCGGTTGGTGCAGAAGTGGCTGGGACTGCTGATGTAGCGGCTGGTGATGTTGCTGCTGGTGATATTGTTGCTGTTGCCGAAGTCTTTCCGGGGAGAAGACTCCAGCATCGGGTGCGTCGACGTAAAAGTCCATGTGGAAACGGCGCGCAATCTCAGTCGAATCCTCAGGGCCGAGGAAGTCGATTGGCGGCGCAGCCGAAGTACGGTCGTTCATTGAACCCTCGACGAAGCGGGAATTCGCGCGCTGTACCGACGAGTTTGATCGTTTCGCCGCGGGCCGCTGGCCGTTGGACGTCGAATTGCTTGACGGAGGGCCCGTGATCGGGTGGGAGGTCAGCGGACCAGGCGCCGACGGGTCCTCCATTGTTGACATGGGCATTGTTTCGTTTGTGTGCCTTTTGGTCCAATGTTTCGTTCCAGAAAAAGGGTGGGTTTGATTGAGTTTCTTGCGGTTTGTTGTTGACGGCCAAAGTCCAACCTTTTTTCGTCCGTTTCTTTTTTACTTGAGGTCTGGCGAGGTGAACCGGGGGAAAAGACGTAGCAGACGTGTCGTCAGACCCTGATGAGCGCAAATGCGAGGGGAAGGTTTTGTCGGGCGATGCGATGCTGCGGCATCCAAAAGGGTTTTTGTTTACTTTTCTGTCGTTACATCTGCCACGCTCCGCACCTGCGCAGGCACGCGGCGCAACCTCTATGTCGTCGCGGGCTTCTTCCCTGCACAGATGGCAGAGGAGAAGGCGCAATGAGGCGTGTACAGGAGGATGAGAGTTTGAGTATTGTTGTAGTGTGGAGTGGGGATTGGAGAGTAAAAAAGTGCTGAAAAAGGGTGAGGGAGAAGTAGATACAGCGAGGACGAAGTTTGGAAGAAAGTAAGGTAAGGTAAGGTAAGCTA